CGCCGCAAATGCCAATCTCAATCTCCCCCTTTTTGAAATCCATGCTCAGAACTGTGCTCAATGTTGTGATGGCCAGCTCCACAACATCCTCCCACGTGCCCTCGGCACAATCCTTGTTGCGCAGTTTCTTCTCCAGGTGATTCAAGGCCTCCTGTTGCTTAGGGCCAGCGGCGGTGCCCTTGTATCCAATGTAATATCCGGCAGGATCGCACTTGTACAGCTGAGGCCCAAACTCGGAATCGAGGGAAATGATGGTTGTAGCAACACCGTAGGGACGCATGTATGCCTGCAATACAAAGTCAGAAACAGATTGATACTCGGACCCGAAGCATGGGAATACGCACTCTCTGCGTGTATACTTGGCTGATGTTGGCCAAACGCTTGGCCAGCACATCGGCAGGCATCTCGTACCCAAACTTGTATCGGAACTCAGCGGCCTCACCCTGGGCTCTCTGGGCAAATGCCCTGGCGTCGGCAATGGAGCCCGTAATGACGCAGCCGACTGATGGAGAAATCTGGAAGATGTGCGAGACCGACGTGGGGTCGATGAGCTTGTCCTGCCACGCTGTTTTAGCATATTGCAGCTGATGACACGACACAGGCCTTCAACTCTTACCGGCACCTTCTTTTGCGACAGTACGACAGCGCAATCCTTTCCTCGGACGCCTACTGACATGATGTTTGCTGCGGTGATGGCCTTGAAGGCATATTCTATACAGGTCAGCGAGGTCATTCGACGAGTCGACTACGCTGAATGGCGGGGTTTGGTGAAGAGGGTTTTTCGATGCGAAACGTACCGACTTGGTATAGTCGACCATTGTCGGAGAAGATGGTAATGTGTCGGTCATAGGCGCTGGCTGTTGACAAGTCAAGGTTAGGTCTTTGCACAGCTCTTTATCTAGAGGGCGTTGAAGCTCCGGCGTGGGAGAACGAACCAGACATTGCGGATGATCAGAGGCCCTGCGCAGGGCGAGACGACTGGATATGTTGATTGAGTATTCAGAGGAGGCTCAGAGCGAGTGGCAGGTCGGACGGGAGGGATAGACTGCTGGGTGCGTGATGGCGGTGACGGAGCTTGTCGATTGTAATATGGACGCGTTACGTTAGCATGAGCTTGCCTAGAGCACTCGGAGCCGCACAAGGCAACGGAAGCTCGTAGGCAAAGGCCAAGCGAATGCCTTGGCCGAATGCAAGTGGAGGCCTGAGGCAGCAAGGGCCTTGGACAGCCAAACTAGGCCCAGACTGGCAGTGGAGACTTCAAGTCCCATCAATCTTCAATATTGATCAAGTCTGGTGCGTGTCAAACTGCCCTCTACTCCACTCGTCCGCAGTCAGCAACGACACTTGCTGCCCAACGCAGTGCTGTTAGTTGTGTGAAACGTGCGAAACAGTGGCGAGCCGCTGGTAGGATTTATAAGTAATACTGTTCCTATTTTCTGGTCCGTTTTGGGTGCACGAGAGACATTTTAGGTGCTGCCGTCACCCTGCCACGCAAAACAACAAGAGGGGGACCAAGAGACCCAAGGCGCGAGTGACTCCGTACCAGGCCAGGTCTTCAAAACGGGTCGGCAGCGGCCGTCTTGATCTGACCCAGAAAAAAGTTGCAACCTCAGAGTCGCACCCAAGGCCAGCTTCCGCATTACCACAACATCAGCTCCCAGCGTGTGGGAGGCACCAGAGAGATTCTGGCAGGATCGGAAAGCCACGAGGTGTCAAGATCTCGCCTTACTGGGCATTACTAGAAAATTCTGAGCAGAGCAACGTGTGCTGCAGACCTGACCGCCTGCGTTTGCGATCCCGCAGGTCTGTGTGCCAATCTTCTCCGGCCTGCCTCCAATCCGCCCGCTTGCCTCACCTTCACAACCACGACGGGAAAAAATTTCCAAGATTTCGACCCAAGCAAAAATGACGTCGTCGCAGAGCACAGCATCTCAGCAGGTGCCAGCCTGGAAGCGATTGGGCCTCAAGCTCAAGCAGCCCAGCGCTGCAACAGATGCTGCCAGTGGTGGCACCCTGTCGGTTGGGCATCCAAGCAGCACCAAGCTTGAAGCCCAGTCGAACAAAAGAAAGAGCGAAGCCCCGCCGGCCACGGAGTCATCGCACGCCATTAAAAAGGCTCGAAAGGACAATCAATCCCCCCCGAGTGTCGACAGCAAGACAAGTCTCAAGAAAGAAACCAAAAAGGTCACATTTGGACACACTCCGACAAAGAACGGAACCGCGTCCGCAACACCCGACTCGACCAAGACCAAACCTGCCAGCTCAAAGAAGAACAAAGGCCCTACCAAGAAGCCGTCGCCTGCCACCCCCAAGGACATCAAGCCCGCTCTTGATTACCTCCAACAGTGGAAAACAGCTCGTGAGGCTTGGAAGTTCAACAAGAATTTCCAGTCTCTTCTCATCGACCGGGTATTCAACGCCGATGATATCCCTGCTGCAGACATTGCCACTTTCTATGAGTATATACGCGACCTGAAAGGATTTGTGCGGACGAGGCTGCGAGAGACTGCTATGGAAGTAAAAGCAAAGGACATTGCGGATGGCCCTTCGGGGTTCCCAGAGGGCACAAAGGAAGCCGATGCCAAACACGAAACATACATGAATCTATTGTCCGACTTCCTGAGCCGCCAGCATATCGGGAAAAAGCGAAAGGGCTATGACGAAGTTGAATTTGTTGCATCTTCTGGGGCTGAAAATGTCATTATCCGCCGCGTCGTCAAGCGACTGCGAGCGGAAATCATCCTCGATGAGCTATCAGACGGAGAGCAGACAGACACCAGCCAGACCACGCAATCTTCAGACAACACCTTCACCACCAACGACAACCACACATTGAACAGGGCGGATGGCGCAAAGCAATTGAAGCTGAACGACGGGACAGCCAAGCGCCGACGAAAAATACGTATCAACGCGGATGACAGCAGCAGTTCAGAATCAGAGTCGGACAGCGACTCTGGCTCAAGCAGCAGCTCTTCTGAAGACTCGGACTCCTCGGACTCGGACGATGATGATGAGGCCGTGGCCCAGGAAGACGACGGGTACGAATCATCCAGCAGCTCGTCGTCCTCTTCGTCCTCTTCGGCCGACGAGTCGGACTCGGATGACGACAGCGCAGACGATGACGATTAGATCATGTATGAGATGCAAAAGCCCTCACGGGATGTATGAGACCAAAAATCGTTTGCAGGGAATTTAGACTGTACCATTTTGGCATTTGCAAATTGTCACGGGAGGGCAATAGATAGATACCCAAATGTTGCGTTGACGAGTAGACTTGTGTATGGGAAAGGGGGGGGTTAGCGGGCTTGAAGGGGAAAACAAAAAACAGTATAGAGCAGCAATGCGAACACTAGACTTTGTCTACAATTATACGTCTGTTGTTTCAGGGAACTCATCATGTCTAACTTGACAAAACACAAATCATGGAAGCCAACCATGCTGTAGATTTTTTCTTTTTCTGTTCTTCCTGCCGCACCCTATGAGTACAATTTCGTAAAGCCCGCCTCCGCCGGCTGCAGCCAGTTTCTCTCATCGTACTCGGTCCCCTCGGCCTCGATGATGTGAAACGTATAAATGATCCTCCCCTTCAAGCTGGTATTCCTCTCACTCTTGTGCAACAAGTTGCCGTGAATCAAGACCAAGTCGCCGGCCCTGACCTCGCCGGGCACATACTCCCCCGCCTCCGCGCCGGCCGGCCGCTCCCCGCCGTGCTCGCTCCCGTCGGGAAACCTCGTCCCCTCGTTGTCGACCATCTCAGTGCCGACGCCGCCCGCCTTCCGCACCAGTCTCTTCCCGACGGGCGCCCAGCGCTGCGACCCGGGCAGGAAGCTCAGGCAGCCGTTCTCCAGGGTCGCGTCCTCGAGCGCGTACCAGAAGCCCGTGGCGCTCGGGGGGTCCGTGTACAGAAAGGTCGAGTCCTGGTGCGGCGGCACGGCGGCCCCAATCTCGGGCTGCTTGCAGATGACCATGCTCTGGAGGCACCGGGGGTCCCGGTAGCCCAGGGAGCGGGCGACGTCGGCGGGGCTGAGCTCGCCGGCGTGGCGGAGCGCAGGGCCGTCGTCGATGAGGCGCGCAAAGGGCCGGGAGAGGGCGTGCAGGCCGTGGCCGATCTTGTTGATGGCCTTGGCCGGCGGCTTGGTCAGGGTGCCGGCGGCGTCGAAGGCGTCCTCCTCGAAGAAGAAGCGGATCTTGTCGCCCGACGTGAGGAAGTACTCGTCGCCGACGTGGTCGGTCGTTTCGCCCGTGGAGAAGCGCGTGAGCGGGTGGTCCTTGAGGGAGAAGCTGGTGAGGAGGGCGTGTGTCTCGTCGAGGAGGGACTTGACCGTCGACGGCGCGAGGGCGTCGCGGATGATGAGGTAGCCGTTCTGCTGGAAGGATGCGAGTTGTTCCGCGGTGAGGCCGGGGGCCGTCATGGTGGTGGCTGTACTGGGTTGTTTGGAAACCAGTCGGGTGGTCCTGGGGAGGGGGGTTATTTTTCGACAATGATTGTGGTGGGATATATTCCTATCCCACTCGAAGCAAGGCAGGTGAGGTTCAAGTGATGGTGTCTCTCACCCCACGTTTTTGTTCTGTCCGCAGGGCATGTCACCCCGCAGCGGGACGCAAACGGGGAGCTCCGACGAGATGGGCTACGTGCGTCGTTCATTGCTCGTTGCAGTAGGGTTGTGCTATCTTTGCTATCTTTGCATCAGCGAGTGCAAAGTACACTACCAAGGTGGTGTGAACCACGCTTGTGAGGGACCATCCACTACTTCGGCTTCACTCAGAATGGGAGGTGGTGCTCAGTCTTTCATATATTATTATCGTATCAAACGAACCGCACCATGGGAGGTGAACCCTCCAGCAAAAAAAAGGCACCTTCTTCGACACCCCTTCAAATCACGATACCCTAATATATGTACATCGGAGAACAAACACACGGAAAAAGCTCAACTCCTTCGCCAAGGCTCGCAATGCAAGCACACTTGATATTAGTGATGAGTATCCATACGTCTCATGGCTCAAGCATCGATCGGATCCTCCAGGAACTCGTAACCTCCTTCAGGCGACAACAGATACGCAGATACGGCCAGTCCTGCAGCTGCAAGAAGAGCAATAGTCGCGCTAACAGTGCTGATATACCACGACACGTCGAGATTCCAACCCGGAATGGTAAATTGTTCGTCATGATCAAACAGGTATGCCTAGATGCTGTCTCAGCCATCTGTCATGATGACCTGAAAAGGGGAAAGAGGGAGACAGAGAGAGTGCAACTCACCACAATCGAAATAACGGCAAACTCTACAACCGACACCAGGGTAAGCATGCCTGCGACCAACGGCCAGCCCGTTTCGCGCTTGTATTTGCCGCCCTTCATGACGACCAGGAAGGAGACGAGACTGGCCAGGCACATTATGGCGGCCAGTGAAGCCATGAATCCGACCGTCTTCCACATGTCGCAAAAGTATCGCTCGCCCGCCTGGCACAACTCGGCCGTGGGGAACTCCCTGCATGTCGGGCTGTTGAGGTTTGAGCACGTCTTATGCAGGCCAATGTGCTTTTCGACGACGTCGCCCTTGGGAGTTGTGACGGAGTAGGAAACCCAGTTGGGTATAAAGATGGATGCGACAATCATGCCGGTCGCTGCATTTCGTCAGTATAATTCACACTCCTTGCCGTTTCAGCATGGCCATCATCATGATTAGTTGATGCAGTGGATTCGAAAGATTGAAGACGGTCGTTTGTTCTTCTTTGCCCTCGCGCCGCTTCCGAACTGCTTCAACGACGTCATCGTGCAATCACGTGGATGTGGGGGGCAGCAGATGCACCGACGAGGAAAACAGGTCACGGAGGCATAATTGACATACCAGCTACAAAGGCCACCAGGGCCGATGAGTAGACGTAGACGCGAGTCATGGTTGCGGCGTGTTGTGGACGGTGAGAGCGTTGCAGACGCCGTTGACAGAGGCAAGTTTGCAGGCGGCGATTGCGTGGCGGTCGGGGCAGATTATCGATATCGTGATCACGGAGTAATGTCTGCCTGGTGCGGTTTGCGTGCGACGATTGGATGCGTGCCCGTGAGCTCTGGCTCTGCAGGAAAGAGCTGGTGACTAGCGCCGCTGGGCCTTCAAACGCTACATACTAGGTACCTGTCACCCCACGTCAGTAAATACGGCGTGCGGAGTTCTACTAAGTACTATGCAGCTGTCTGATTTTCTACAATTAGCCCGACGACCTGGACTGTACCGAGAACTGAGCTTCCACCAAAAACCCCCACTAACCCGTCACCACCCGCCCCTCCGCAATCGCAACGGCCCTCTCCGCGTCAATCTCCATCATCTCCAACTCCAACTTCCAACCAGACGTGATGCGAGCTCCCTCGCTGAGACGACACCTCCGAACCTTGACCCGAATAGGAGCAACCTTTTCAACAGACCCCATCCCATCCATATCGCCATTCCTTCAAACCCATTTCCACCGCACAATGTCGTCATCCGTGCTCAAAAAGCCCGTCAAGCTGGCCTGCATCCAGCTCGCCTCGGGCACCGACAAAGCAGCCAACCTAAAACACGCCGCCTCGCAGGTCGCCCACGCCGCCTCGCGAGGATCCAACATTGTCGTTCTCCCAGAGTGCTTCAACTCGCCCTACGGGTGCCAGTACTTCCCCGACTACGCAGAGACGCTGCTCCCGTCGCCGCCAGCCCCCGAGCAGGCCCCGTCCTACCACGCCCTGTCCGCCATGGCCGCCGACAACAAGGTCTACCTCGTCGGGGGCTCGATTCCCGAATTCAGCCCCGACACCAAAAAGTACTACAACACGAGCCTGGTCTTCGGCCCGGACGGCGCCCTGCTGGGCTCCCACCGAAAAGTGCACCTCTTCGACATCGACATCCCCGGCAAGATCACCTTTCGCGAGTCGGACGTCCTGAGCCCCGGGGACAAGGTCACGCTGGTCGACTTGCCCGAGTACGGCACCGTGGCCGTGGCCATCTGCTACGACGTGCGGTTCCCGGAGCTGGCCATGATTGCGGCGAGGAGGGGCGCCTTTGCGCTGATTTACCCGGGGGCGTTCAACTTGACGACGGGCCCGCTGCATTGGAAGCTTTTGGCGCAGGGGAGGGCGGTGGATAACCAGATCTACGTGGCCATGTGTAGTCCCGCCAGAGACATGAGCGCCACGTACAACGCTTGGGGCCATAGCATGATTGTCGATCCCATGGCGACGGTGGTGGCGGAGGCTGAGGAGACGGAGACGATTGTCGAGGCGGAGCTTGATGGAGGCGTGCTCGGCGAGGCGAGGAAGAATATTCCGCTGGGCTCGCAGAGGAGGTTTGACGTTTACGCCGACGTGAGTGCTTCGGGGGGTGGGGTTTGACGACCCTCGTGAGTGAGTGAGTGAGTGATGTCAATTGAGTTGGGGTTGGGGTTGACGAGATGTATGGGGTCTACGGTAGGTAGTGCGTAGAATATATGAAACAGCGAGACTAATACAGGTAGGCGCCAATTGTCACCATCTTGTGAATACAGCAACATTTTTTGAGGATTAAACGTCAAATTCGTTATTCTATCCGTGTTCGCAGACATTTCTGCGCAAAGACTACCCAAGATCAGAGTGTCGGGGTAATTACTCCTGTTGACTTGTGTCCCAAAGGCCGCCGCCGCCATCAAGCTCCCAAACCCCTTTTTTATGTTGTTTCACCCCATCAATTTTGCCGTCATATCGAACCATTGCGCTCAGAGAGGGCCGTGTCCATTTTTTCCCCTTTTCAGATGCTTGGGCTCAAATCTATATCCAAAACCGAGCACTTACTCCAGAGCCTTCTTGGCAAAGGTGGGCAGGATGAAGCTGGCCTTGTGAATCTCAGCATTGTAGTAGCGGCACTTGGCCTCCTCCTCCTCAGGAGTCCACTGGCGGAGAGGAACGCGGACATTGCGGTTGGCATCTTTGCAGCAGACCATGAAGCCAATCTGTCCAGAGGGGTAGGTAGGGATGGTGGTGTAAGCGTATTCGGCAACGGGGAATATCTCCTTGCAGTCCTTTTTGAGCTGCGTGATGAGGGGCAGGTGAAGCCACTGGTTCTCGGCTGTGCAACAAAACGGTACAAGTCAGCAAAATACAAGTCCTTTCACAGCATCTGGGCGGGTATCTTAGGAGTGTTGAGACGTCAGTCAACAAAGTGTCGACTCTCGGTAACAGCAGGTGCATAACATTGTGTCATGCTACTCGGGACTTCCCGGAGCAGAGCTGAGGAAAGCAGCCACTAGCCTCTGGAAAGTCCCTAGGATAGACGGTACGTTATTTGTCTTTCGAGTACCAGTTGAAGAGAAGAAAAAGACCCGAGAGTCTAGCAGCTTGCCAGGCAACTGGTCTCTTGATCAACCTTTAATCAACCTCTGCCACTCCTAGGGACCCTCACACTTTCCTCAAGAAAAAATGAGAACATACAACCTTGGGTAGTAATGACGCCGCCATCGCGCAAGGCATCATGGAGAAGCTGGAAGTATGGTTTCTTGAATAGGCTCTCGGCGGGGCCCTCGGGGTCGGAGGAATCGGTGATGATGACATCGAAGCAGTTTTTGTAGTCGTCGAGGAACTTGAAGCCGTCGCCAACGTGGACCTTGGACTTGGGGTGCTTGAAGCCTTCGGCCATCTTGGGGAGGTACTGCTTGGAAAGCCGGATAACGGCCTTTTCGGGACCTTGTCAGCATCAGAGTGGCGACGGGGTTTCTAGGGATGGATTGCAGTTCGCCATTTACCTCGTCAATGTCGCACAGGGTAGCCTCCTCGACGCAGTCGTGCTTAACAACCTCACGGAGAACGCCGCCATCGCCACCGCCAATGACCAGGACCTTCTTGGGGTTGGGGTGGGAGTTCATGGCGAGGTGGGTGATCATCTCTTGGTAGGAGAACTCGTCGCGCTCGGTGGCCTGGATAACATTGTCCAAGACCAGAACAGTGCCGTAATCGGTCGACTTGAAGATGAGGACATCCTGATACTGGCTCTTCTCGTGGTGCAAGACCTTGTCAACCTTGAGGGTCATGGCCTGGCCTGGGCAAGAGGTATAAGTTTCGTGATAAAGAAGCTCATTTGCGGGTTGGCGTTATTCATACCAGGCCACATGTCCGAAATTTCTCGGAACCAACCATCTGTAACCGCGTTAGTCAAGTTGTCCTTTCAACCCTGGGTGCGTTCTGACACGACAGTCACAACGACTCGACGATGCCATTGCCAGCATGCAAATGTGAGGCTCAGCAAGCAACATGCCGCATGATGATGTTTCGAGAGCTGTATAGGCCCACGCATAATTCTGCTTTCTCCCAGGTAGCAAACCACCTGTCAAGAGGTTCGTTGCAATGCCGTCACATTTGCTGAAGAGGCGGCCGGCGCTGACCTCAAGCGCGGGGTTGACAAGACTGTTGGTGGTGGAGGGGAAAACGTGCCAGGGTGCACAAGCACAAACCTTTAATGGTGGGATGAACAATCTCAGACATCTTGACAAACTTGTTGGAATACCGAGAAATAGGATACGGCGTGCAGAATCGGGGTACCAAAAAGGCTGAAGACGCGAAGAGAGGAGAGGTGAAGGATCGCTGAAGCTGGGACGAGAGCAACTTTTTCATCCCAATGCCGCCGTCTGCAAGTAGTGGCTGAAGAAGCCGATGGTGGGGTCAATCATGGTGCCTGTTGTCTGTCCGGTGCGAGATGAAAATTTTGGCGGCGGCGTCCGCGGGACTGCAAGCTACACCGTGCTTGAGGGGCCATTCGGCATTCCGTACTCCATATCAAGTCTGGTCAACTTGATATTTACGGACTAGTTCTCAAAAAATTACCATGTTGGGAATACCCGCCCACAGCTTGAGATGGTGAACGGTAATATCATGGACTCTGGCGGATGCGGTGTTTCGTTTGTTTAAACTCGGTCACCTTGACATGTGCTTGCTGGTGGTAAGCGGTAAGCTAAGAGCTTGATGTCCCGGCTCGGTTGGGTCAAGTCTGGTCTTCTTGAGTGGCTCGTCCACTTATTCGTCGCTGACGGCTGGTGGCGCAGAATCCAAAGGCTATTGAAATGTAAAGGGCCCTTGGGCAGCACTCGGTACTTACATACTACAGCGCTGTACATACAATAAATACGGTATGATGAAACCGCCCTGCTTGAGACACACACGCGCGCGCGCACGCACGTTGGGAAGCATGTTTGTAAATGGCATGAACTTCTTTTCTTGGGTTGGTTTTCCACGTGGTGAATGGTCCAAGGATTCTCGTTCTGCCACTCCGTATCTGAGAGCATGACGCGCTATCGCAAGGGTGGACACCATGTTGATCATGCATGTGTCCCTGAAGCTTGCCTAGTGGTATGTACTTTGTCCAGCCGTGTTGCATTGTAATAATACACCGTAATGCTTGCCATCGGATATGACGTATTTGGGCATCTGTGTTCCTGGGGCAGAAGAGATTGCCGGAAACCCTCTGAAACCTGTTATTTCCCATTTTCCGAATCCCAACCAGTGCGACAACAGGGCCCTCCCATGCTGTCTTGTTGATGTGAATACATTGATGGCATCATCATGGCGTGGTTCAATGTCGCTCCTTCCTTGTCCACTTCTTGGACACCTTCAACCGCTCCGCTCAGTCCTCTCGGTACGCAGCCGTTAATCTTGTCACCCTCCGAGTCGGACTCAACCCATGAAGCCTTTTTATCTTCCATCATGCTCTCCCTTGCCCTCCCTCAAATCCTCTTGCCACATAATTCATTCACACACTAATTTCTTTAGCACAAATCACGCCACGACAAAGTGGAACGGCCCGTGGAGCGGCTAGCAGTGAACATGGCCAGCATCATGGCGGACAGTGGCGCACCTACCCTACTCCGTACCCCATGCTCTGGGCCAGCAAACAGACAATACGGAGTACAGC